GAGTTCAGCAGTGCAATTCTGTAACTTTTGTCGACACGATTTGTCGGATCGCAAAGTTACGAATTTTGTGGCTTGCGCTAACGATCATGCGATTCTCTAACGCAGTTATTACGATGATCGACATCGCACATTTCCATTTTATTAAAATGTAGGAAAGGTGGCACCACAGCTCAACGAAACGTCAAAATGTACGAAAAGCACAAAGAGGAATGACAAAAACAAATAAATTTGTTATTGAAATTATTTTTATTAAAAGAATATCAATGCATTACAAAGTTTTTCAAAAGCATGTTATGGTTTGCACTTTCATGCATGACTCTTCGCTCTATAGGGGAGATCCAAATAAAAAAATTGTGCCCCGCTCTTGGGTAACTGGTATTTGCCAGAATAATCTTGCAATAAGGACCACATATCTATGTGAAAATATAATTAACTTTGTTACTACAATAGTAATTGGAAACAAATTTACTCTCACCATTTGCACATTGATGGAATGGTATCCATGGTGGTTTGTATATGCTTCTTCATGATTTTTGGGACTCATGTGCAATCGATAGCTCCAATAGTGCCACCAACAAATGGTGACGATGACGAAGCAAAAATTTGGAAAACTAACAGAAAACCTCGAACGGTTGATTGCGTCTGTTACGCGATGAATACAACAGTTTACTGACGACTGACTCATGGACATCCCCATTGCAAAAAATCGCGAGGCGGGTAGAACCTTTAAACATTTTAATAGTGTTAAGACTAAAAAAAATATTGAAAAAATATATTATTACCTGTTTCTACGTAGACAATGCTGTTATTCTTCTTCCTTTTAGTTGACAATCTAGTTCAGAAACGATTTCTTCAACTAAATCCGGCGAAACTCGGTAGCATCCAAATGAAAAGGATCTTCCGCTTCTCGACGCAAACTTCTATTCAATGATGAAGATTAGGATACCTCGTCATATTGTGATAAAACGTATGCCAAATATTCAAAACCATTTCTTTTATTTTTTTATTTTTATTTTTGTATAACTTTGACAATTTCCCGGACACTTTACTCTCTTAAATGAAATAACAAAATTTTGTCGATATCGCTAACAACTTAAAAATATTCGTCGCTTAGTTAGCGATTTTTCGAGTAGTTTACGACAATAGCGAGAGCGAATATCGTTATAACAAGTACACCGAATATTAAAATCGTTAGAATTATCGCAAAGTCTTCTTTGCGATCCGAAAATCGTTATACTATTCTTAGAGAATAGCGATTATCGTTAAAAATATCGCTAAGTCTAATTTGCGATCCGAAAATCGTTATTCTGTGCTTAGAGAATAGCAAAATCGTTAAAATTATCGTTAAGTCATTATAACGATCCGAAAATCGTTATAATATGATAGAGAATTGCCCTACAGCTCTCTTTTATGGCGCGTTGAGTCTTTAGCCATGCCTCAACTCATGGCCATTAAGTCCCTCGCTGCTCATACATACCCACCATTTTTTAGTATACTTATCTAAAAATCGTCTTTAAGTTTTTATAATTTGTTCTACAACAATTGAAATTGTAGTAAACAAATGCTGCGCACTATCTTTTTATAAGCGCTACGCACTTATTTTGGGATGCCAAACTAAGTTTGGACTAAATCAACTAACTTGTCTTTTTTATTTGGACACGTTCAAACTAATATTTCGCATAAAATATGTACATATGCAATAGATGTATATAAATGAGATTAATTATACCAACATATTATTAGTTGCATACTGCAAACGTTCTCGCACTGCATTTTATGCTGTCGAAACAGTGCTATTTATTGACTATGGCATGTTACCTAAGTCGATGATGCATGGAGTGTTATCTCCAAAATTTTAAGCATTAGGACAGATTCTCACGACACAATTAGTAAGTGCACTAAGCACAACTTACATTTTATCGTGTGTCTCCAAGCCGTAAAGCTCATTAGCCACCCAACTAATCACCAAGAACGCACAAATGAAAAATGCCATTAGGCAGTGTACTCTTAATTGACGTCATCGAACATTACAAGTCATGCGCGCAGTTAGTAGAGGAAGAAGAAGAGGAAGAATGTTTGGTGGAAAATCCAGTACCAAGCGGCGGATACCGATTTCGCCCACTACTACGCCATGGACAGGCGTGTCTCGCGGAAAATGGCGAGGATACTCGTCCCTTCCACCCATCAATATCTACGCATCGCCACGGCCGACAGGATGGAGTGGAAACTCGTCCTTTACGCCCATCTGCATCCACACGTCGTTAATGCCGACAGGATAGAGCACAGCACCACCACCTATAAGAGTTCCTTTGTCGCCATTAACCCGGCGGCTATAGTGTCCATCGAATCAAGCGGCCGATTTGGTCTGCGCCCTCATCGACCCATGCGCGCCAACAAGTATAATCGATAGGGATCTGGCAAGGGAACTACAGTTGGAGAGACACCAAACTTGGTGCTCAGTTATACAGTTGGAGAGACACCAAACTTGGTGCTCAGTTATACAGTTGGAGAGACACCAAACTTGGTGCTCAGTTATACAGTTGGGGAGACACCAAACTTGGTGCTCAGTAATATAGTTGGAGAGACACCAAACTTGGTGTTCAGTAATACTGTTGAAGTGACGCCAAACTTAGTGCTCAGTAATATTACGTGACAAATATGGGGGAACTCCCTTAATGAGCCTATGGGTCCACCTTCATTTTTCTACCGCGTCCCATTTCTTTTGCCACTCGGCGAGGCTTGTCTGTCTCTTTCTCTTTCGGCTGCCGAGCTCCGAAGATGTTATATCTGGTGGCATAATGCCGGATATGATGCTGGTCGCTTAATGCGACACCGCCCTAAATGCACAGGCAACTCTAATGGCGCATAGCCTGAGAACTGCATTTGTGTTGCTGGCATATGTTTTTTGATGCAGAGCTTTTCCTCATATAAAAGCTGCATACATCAGTATTGACTGGCTAACTTTAGCTAGTAGAATTCTCTTACTATGACTAGGACCACCTATGTTGGCCATGATTCTCGCCAGGGCCGCAGTCACTTAGGCCGCATTACATTTCTTAGGCGGGGTCCTTCGAGCTATCTGCTTATCCTAGCGGGGCCTCTTCGGCGTTGTGTCTGTCGTCATGGTTCTCAGAGGGACATTTCTCCTGCTTTCTTTGCATTTGTCGAACTCCTTTTGGGCGCGTGCATGAAGCTTCATCATGGAGCTAAGCAGGTCCCTGATTTGATTATTTATAGACCTCTGTCGCAGGCTCATTGCCTCAGTCAACATTTTGTCTTCCCTAGCTCTGCCATGACGTCACCAGCCGGTTGTGTCACTTCCGCTAGAGGCGCGCTGTCTTGTGGCGAAGGAAGCGACGATCTTGCTCTCACAGGCCACATTAAGCACCTTTTTGACGATCGCACCAGACTTGGTGCACGTCTAAAGTGGCCAGCCTCGGCGCTGACTCCACTAGTGGTCGGCGTTCTCCTAAGCAGATACTTTTCTGGTATCTTGCTACCAGGACTTTGAGTGCCGCTGCTCATAATTATTCCATATATGTAACTGCTCTTTGTTCTCTTGTTAATATCCATTCCTAAATTTGCTTACATCGTGTGTAGGGGGCGGGCCGAAATAAAAAGGAACGAGTATACCCTCGGAAGTAATGATCCTACCCAAGTTCCCTCAGGCCTGTCCATCGCTTCACCAGTCCCGGGAAATATGGACGGACTGGAGCTCGCCCGGGGCATTGCCGGCTTCTACTCATGCGTTCAATACACACACCCTGACCAAGGACCAAAATGGCTGTTTACTGATACATACCGCGGCTGACACCTCGGCAGAGCAAAGCTCACATCGCCCTCTCCATTCCGTCAGCGGAAACGTCCCTCTGGAAATTTCCAGGGACTCCCATGCGCCGCGTTGTGTACCGCTCAAATTGTTATATCAGCCGCATGATGAACAGACTAGGAAAGCCGCTCATTATGAGTCCGCCGCGCTTGGATTTTTGTATAATTCAACACCTATTTTCAAGAGGCGGCGGCGATTCGCACCTGTCACAGAAACATAATCAGACTCATCGGCTTTTATACCCCATATTCCGCTCTTGTCATTCATCGTCGGGATTGTTTATTCGTTTAAACTTATTTCGAAACTATCCTGCTACTACAGGCTGCCCGGCTATCAGCAACCTGCCGACCCACCGGTAGCTTTGAGCTCAGCTATGGTAACTATCCCACCGGGCATGCATGTAAACATGTGTGTGTGCAAATGTGCAAAAATTTGTAGACCGAAATAAACAGGAACCGGTATTCCCAACTTTGGAGTAATCCAAATGTTACTCCTCTGTGGGTAATTTTGGATCAACTCATGTTTCGTTACCAGCTTTGCGTGTTTTGCCGACTCTAATCACAACACAATCTTTAATATACTGAGTTGCCAAAGTAAAAAACTAAAAACTAAATAAAAAATTACAATATAATACAATAATAATACAATTATGTTGTAATTTTTTATTTAGTTATTAGTTTTTTTACTTTGGCAACCCAGTATATTAAATATTGTGTTGTGATTATTATATATTGTATATAATATTGTTGCGAAAATGCGAGGCGAATGTCAGATGAAAGAGAGAAGCCGATAACTAGTACATTCTAGAAACGATAAAACAAGAACCTTCCATAGCGAACAATTCGATGCTTCTACGCTTTCGTCTGCGAGCAGCCGACTGCTATATAAAGGCTACACTCAGCTGCAAGTCAAGTTAGTGACAAAGCGAACTGGTTGGCGTTAACATCAGTGAAGTCGTAAAGTGAACGCGTTGGGAATTACATTTAAGTAGAGTAAATTGTGAAAGTTGATGTTAGTGATTATAAATAGTAAAGTGCAGTATAATTGAATTGTGAATTACTGAGAAAATAAAGGACATTAGATAGAATCTTTATAACGAAAGAAACTGCAAATTAAGTTGGCGAGTTTTTATTTAACAATCCAGAGATCGTACCCGAAGGATCTAGAAAATAATCGAGGTTGATTTAGTAAAATCGTAACAATATATATATATAGATGTTTAATATTTCCTTTTTATCACAACATTTCATGTAATTCATATCTGCCACTAAACTCTGTGCCTTTTGCAACATTGGTAAGTTTTATAAAAATTAAACAACGGCAACTCGGGCAAGAGCGTATAGAGAATTTTTTTATGATGCGAAGCCGTCGGGCTTTAGCGTCTAAGAAGTGTATGGTAAGTTGAATTACTTTAATACATTATACGTGTACGTTATTACATATAATTATTATAATAAATTTGTTATAACTAAAAATTCTAATGCAGTGCAGTGCGCGACATATTAATTAGGCAGTTGGAAAGGGAAAAGTTTAAAAAAATATTGCAACAGGCAACAAACTCAGCTGCGCAAATTGATTGCAGCGAAGAGTCGGAAATTCCGGCAATTCCAATGAAGAAATTTCTTTGAATGATGAAATTATCAGTGGGTCAGACAAAAGAGCCAAATTTTGGACGGACTTAGGTCAATGGCAAATTAGGAGTAGGACGTCGAATAAAAAGATGACAGAGTTATTATGGCGATTAAAAAATTATGGGTTAGATGTTCCTGTTTCTCCAACGACACTTCCAGGCAAAGTTAGTTCAAAAATAAGTATAGTACCTGTGCTTCCTGGTAGTTATGCTAATTTTGGTGTTAATGAACAGTTAATTAAAATAGCTCATGTTTTTTAAAACGTTGATGAAATTGTTTGCGACATTAAGATTAACGGCCTGCCACTTTTTAAGAACTCAAAAACACAGCCATGGCCAACCTTAATTAAAATTGTAAATATAAAAAACATAAATGTTTTCCCAGCAGGGATATATGTTAGTAAGAAAAAGCCAAATGATGTTAACCAATTTTTGAAAAAATTTGTGGAAGAAATTTTGTTTTGCAGCAGAATGGGTTAGTAGTAAATAACAAAAACATTCTAATACATCTTCGAGCCTTAATATTATATGTGATGCACCAGAGAAGTCATTTGCATGTGGTATTGCTCACCATTCTTCTGCAAATGGTTTATCCAAATGTACCCAAGTTGCTAAAAAAAGACGTAATGTCTTAACATATAGCACAGAAATAGCTGAGATTATAAGTGACAATGGTTTCGCTAAAAGAAATAATTTAAAAATGGTCAGTCAAGTTCCCCTGGATCCAATGCATGTCATTGATTTGGGAGTAACCAGAAAAATTATTAGTAAACTTTGAAAAAACAAAGTAAACACGAGTGTTTCAAAAATTAATAAAATAAATATAACTAAGCTCTAAATTTCTTCAAAGAAAAATATTACCAGAGATTTTGCCCCAAGTTTAGAGGTGCTACCTAACTGGAAGGCTACCGAATTTCGCCAGTTTCTCCTCTATACAGGGATTTTAGTTTTAAAAAACAATGTTGGGGAGGATTTTTATTATCTTTTCCTACTGCTCCATTGTGCCATAAGACTCTTAACATGCAATAAGATTTACTAAAACTTTTTGTTCAAAACTTCGAAACCGTTTTCGGACCAGAAAGTGTTACATACAATGTCCATAGTTTACTTCATATATGCGAGTGTGTCAGGCATCATGGCGTGCTATACAACTTTTCTGCATATGATTTTGAAAATCATTTGCAAATAATTAAGAAAAATGTTCGTAAGCCCACAGATATTTTGCAACAGTTACATTTGAAAAATTTTTACGCAAGTCATGTAGAAGAACTAAAACCTCTAGGAATAAGAGAAAAAAATGGCATAGTTTTTAGTTACAGAAATGGCGAATACTTTTTAAGTATAAAATCTCCGGACAATTTTTGCCTTCTGATGCCTTATACTCCTGTTAAAATTGTGACATTCGAATGGGACGATAATAATGAAATTTTATTCATAGGCCGTCGCTTTAAAAATGTTTATCTTTTTTTTAGCAAGCTTTTGTCACTACCTTACGAAAATAAGTTTGTTTTGGTTCCTATTTTGCACGGCTGCACTTAAAAAATATTAATAGTCTTAATAAATATAAGTACATACATATGTAAAGTGAACTAAAAACATCAATTAATAATTTGAGAGTTAAATAAATAAATTAATAATTTTACGTTGCAGAAATGTTTGAGAAACAAACGGGAAAAGAAAGTTTGGAAAATTTGCAAGGTAAATTCAAATAAATAAGTATGCCATACATAATTGCTGCTATGTGTTAAACATTCCAAATAAAAAGTTATGTATGGAAGTTTAACAAAGTTTTAAATTGAAATTCTACTTTATTTTGTTTTCTGTAAAATTATATTTTCGCAGCAACAACAGAAAACCAAAACAGTGTGATAGTGGAGATGACGGCGGATCACAAAGTGCACCTCACAACAACTAATAACGGCCTCTTAAATATATCAGCCATAACAACATTGTTTCCAAAGAAGACTTGAAAATTATGGACGCTGATATAAATTCAAAGAACGAGTCAAAATATGTAAATAGTAAAGCTAATTTTTTGTTGTAAGAAGCACTATGAAATCAAATTTTCCCTTTAGATATCAGCAGTGAAATATTTATTTGATGTATGCGTCCATAAAAATTTGGATAGGATATTTTCAAGGAAGTTAAGTGTAGCATACAACACAAACGGGAATTTCGGGAAAAAGGTCTAAGAACCTACACAAACGTATACAAAGTTCCACTGTGTAAGCATATTACTTTTCAACATTAAACATTTATAATTTTACCTACGAGGATTACACTTCAAGAATTTCAGTACATCTAACAATTGAAAATGAATTATTCAATTCAATTTTTGATAATAAATAAATGAGTTTTGTATTTGTAATTCCAGTAATTAAAATTTTCATGTATCTGAAATTTCGATCTAATAAAATATACATAAACATAATTTCAGCTGCAATAGGTTACAGTTCCCCAAATGCAGAAAAAGAGTTACAAGCCGGACTGCAAGCAGTAAAAAAGACATTTTCGTTTTATAAGTAATAATAAAACAAAAGTAATTGATTAATGATATAATATAATAATAATATTTCTATTTATATGTATATATGTATATGTATAGCAATAGCATATAAGATGAATATATAGTAATTTTGAGTTTATAAAACGAAATTTAATTTGAAATTTTTGAAGTCAATATGATATATTTTTATTTCGCCTTGAATGTCATTATACGTGCAAATATTTATAAATATACTTTTAAGTAAAGTAAGTTTTTTTGTTTTCAAACGAAATGAATTTCATAGTTAATGCTTTCATTATTATTTGAATTCAAATATTTTTTTAAATATAATAAAAATTTACACTCTTTAAGCTTTTTGTTTTTAGTAACTACATACTTATGAAAAAGAAATATCCGGTAGGTGCTCTCATGTAAGTACTCCATGGAGTAATTTTGTGAAGTAGTTTTAATCCCATGAAGGTACTCCGTGAAGTAATTTTTGGATTGGTTTTAAAACTAATCCCATGTACATAGGTACAAATTCAGTCTCCATTGTTTTTTTATTCAGGCATGGCTATACACATATTTACATAAATCTTAATACTACTAACTAACATGTCTTCTAGACAAACACTTAAAAAACTTATAGCAATTCATTTGGTAAAAAAAAAATTCCCTTATGTAGCTAATAAAAAAACTAACTACAGCTTATCGACTAATTTTGAGATTGCATTGCCCAAAATCTCCAACCCTTTCCCCATTTGCATCAATGCAAAAGATAGATGCTCATCTATATGCCTTTGAGACTGCAAATCTTCAGCCATCATCTTATAAATTGTATCGTCACTTTTTGTTGCCGAGAAGTGGTAGGATCAATCGAAGGCCATGCATCAGATGCTGCGGCAATGTTGTATATATAATATTTGGGTCTACGGTTAACTCGGTTGGCGATTCGATCAGCGTTTCCACAATCACGTATTCTTCCTCTCCGCATAGTGGTGATGGAGTCGCAGGAATTGTGAATGTGCCCTAAGTAAGCAGAAACTTTAAGGTTTCTGTATATTTAACAAATAGCAAATTATTTACTTACAGGAAGACCCGAAGTTACGCACTCCAATCCATTGACTGCGCCCATGCCAAATGCAGAAAGAGCTTGTTCCTCGAACTCCGATAACTCTTCGCCTGAAAACGAACCTCCGTCAGTGCGCAAGTGTTCGGCTTTTAGCTTTCGAGCCCGAGCGCAGAGCTGCTTCTTCCAGTTGCTTAAAGACTACAATGGAAAAATTTATTGTTTGATAATATAAACAAAATATAATATAATGTTTACCTCTTTCCATTTTGCGGCAGTTTTATTCGGCCCATAAAATGAATATAAATTCTGAGCTTGAGGATCATTTGGCGTGTTCTTCCCGCTTAGTATCTGTCGATTACTTTGTATGAATTCAACATACCATTTCAGCTGCGATTGTGTGGTTCTGGCGTATTTTCTTTAATGAAATTCCATTGTTTATGATTTAATAATCAAATAAATAAAACTTACTTATTTTTTTGCGCTCCGTCCATTTTGGTGTACGTATCATTCTTTTTTACTTTACCAAATGTTGTATTTTGACAATAACGAAAAAAGCAGTGCTGCCAAATTTTTCTCAATTATTGTAACCAGTTCGCCAGAATACCAAATTTAATTTCGGGTGACAAAGAAAAGTAACAATATTTACTTTACCGGTAACAATGAGAATAGGCCTGTTAATATACAAATGTATGTAAGTTACGTTGTAACAAATTGACAAATTAAATGAACTTATGATTTCACACCATAATAAATGCTAACGCCAGGTCTACCTGATTTCCGCTCAAACCATCATTTCACAACAACAACACCACGACGATTATTTTACAATGCTCAGCATTTCCGCCACGTGTATTGCAAGCGGGCTGAATTCCTGGAATCTTCTAAACCAGAGCAGAGCCATAAGTTAGCACATAAGTTATAAATTAGCAAATTTTAGATTGTTTAAGTAATTCTTGTTTTGACTTCGTTAATAAAAGGTCGTAAGACCAGAAATAAAAAATATTTTTTTTATTTAATACGAATACAGAATTCGTTAACTTA